AAAACAATTTATAAATACTACATTTATTTCCAGAGATCAATTCTTTGATTTAATGATGAACTACAATCAAAACCATCTGCAAATCAGCATTCATGAAAGGAGAACTGTTAGTATGAAATATGTACTTGTGCAAATACTTGCTTTCACATTAAGGGTCTGCCTAGGGTAAAGTCTATCATCAATATATTTGTGAACAAGGAATGATCCAGAAAACATTTGCCCTCATTGTCTTTGAGGAAGAGAAGGGAAGCCAGCCTCTTTTAACATATGACAGCTATGAACCTTCTTAATAGAAGAATTTCTTTATCTAAAAAACATGGACCTGAAATGAAGGTTTGTACTTTTCTCTATTCAACCCAAAACTGCGCCTTCTGCCTCTGTTACAGCCACTTTCCACAATGTTATAGAGAAGAAAGTCTTTCTTTGCAGCACTGATTTGGTTTCAGATGCATTACACCCAGGCAGAATAAGCATTTAGAGTATTTAAGAAACTTTAAATTAAGTTCCCAGAAAGGAGGTTGCAATCTTCTGCTAAATCACCTGTGCCATCTGTCCAAAATTTCCCCCAGAAACTATGAAAACATACAGCTTAGAACATAAGAGATCCCTGGATTTCCATGTAGATGTGTTCTTAATGTTCAGCATAATTATCTTCTCAACAAGATTTAGTAATTATGACAGACTTTTCCTTAGGTAATTTACAGATTTCATAAACGGTGAAGACATTTCAGCATCTTGGTCTATATACAGATGAAAGCCATCGTCATAGAAAACTTACAAAAATGTCTCTTCAGGGAAAATGAGAAGAGTTTGCTACATTTACTAAATAATTTAGTGGCTGCATTCCCTCTTTTTTCCAGGGAAAGGAAAAGGTACATTTTAGCAGAGATGCAGAGTGTTAATTTGACTCAATTGTGTTCTGCCTAACAGACTCCTGGGTGTCAGGATGAACAGCTGTGATCTCCTGTGGCTTCCCACCCAGGGTCATCCCCAGGACTCAGTCAGCATCCTGCACCCAGCACCTCCCTCAGCAGTAGTGGCACGGCATGGATTACAGCTATGGCACCCAGCCAGGCTTCAGGAGCTGTGGCTTCTATCAGGGGCATCCACTGTGATCTATACACATTATTGCAACTGCACTTACATAGGACAGGCTTTTTTGAAAGAAAGATCAACAGCCTCTCACAGAGACAGCAGCATTCCAAAATATTGGCAAAATATTGTCCTTGATGAGTGACGTTAGCTGAACTCATTTGGCATCTGCCTGAAAATTGCCCATGAATAGTTATCAAGATTCTCAAATGTGCTCATTATCTGGAGGATTATTCTTCATGTGCAGTCAGCTCATAAAAGGTTTGCTGCAAATACAGTCCTCATCCAGACAATTACTTACAGAAGTTACACAGTACAGCTTTCTGTGCTCCGACTGGCTGGCTCCTCTGGCTGGCACAGCACGAGCTGTGATCAGTGCAACCAAAGGCACAACTTCGTGTCACAGTATGGAAACACAGTGCTGAACATTTGCTTTTAGCCATCATCTATCCTCAGTGATTGAGTCTTTTATTACTTATAGTATGACTACCAGGTTAGAAAAGGGACAGATTGAATTAAAACAATTTTAAAAACAAGGATCCAAGAGCTTAACCATTGCTACTGTCCTGCTAGAAAGCTTTCTTTCACTTGAAAGAAGAATGGAAAGGACATGACACCTTCCTTTGCCTGTCTACTTATCCTCAAATGTGATAAAGTCTATTCCAACAGATTATTTCTACTCCAAAATCCAAAGCTGATAAAAGCTTTCCACTCTCCCTCTGACATCCCTTATCCTCCTGGTTAGAAGGTCTTCGAATTTCAACACCAAATTAAAGATCATGGCACAAGTGAAAAAAGAATATCCTTCTAGTGATGATATATGGAATCCATCATCTAAATGGATTAAAATACAATATATAAATGAATTTGCTACACACTTAAATATTGAAGGCAACTTTTGAAATACTTACAATTGATGAGGTTAAAAATATTCTGAATAACTTCTGGCCAAACTGCTAAAGGAAGTGCAGCAATGTGGGCATTGAAGCGCTTTCAGTCATTATTCTGATCATAGTGGTCTGAGTTAACATACTTTACTCCTCCTCTTTTCCAAATGAGTAATTAACACAAAATTTTTAATTCACTATAGTTTGAGTGCATGAGTTTTACACTGATTTCCCTCCATATAATTCACATCCTTGACATACAAGTCCCACAAGGCTGTAAGTTTGTTACAGGTCACAAGACATGACAACAAAAAGGTCTGCTGTCACAGACTTTGATACTGTGAATAATTTTGCAAAATTCCTAGAATTATTCCTGTGTTGCAGTAAGCCTGAGTTAGTGTTAGTTTAGGATCTTGATTAATTAGCCTCATCTTTAATAATAGAATTTGGCTACCTCTGAAATTCTTGACTGCTAAATCATCACAAAGTAAGTCTTTCCCTGCTTAGTTCATATTTCCTGGCCTAATCAAGCTAGGTATTCTCTTATACAAATACAAAATACACATTATTGAAATTACTGGGCAGGACCAATGTTACCAGAAATAACCTGTAGGAGCATGTGCCCTGGGGCCAGAAAAATACACAACATAGCTACTTATCCAACCCCTCTGTGATCCTACAAAGAGGAAGCAAGATCAATCCTGGATGCAAAAATAATCTCACCTAAATTACAGACCAAGACTTCTCAGCTACTTGCATTAGCTATTTCTACAGGTATTGTATTCACACTATTTGCCAATTTTGCTTATGCTCTTTTCTTTCAAATCTCTTCCCCACATATAGCACAGAGCTCAAGTAAAGAAGGAATATGAACTTTAATTTTTACATTTTCACCTCACAAAAGCTGGAATAGGAGGAAGCTCTCATTTCCCCTCAATCTTCCTAAAAAATAAGTAAATATAAAATTTCACTCATCAGGAAAACTACAGCCTGTGCACTCTTAACCACTTCACCTGCACTTTGCTCAAAAATTCTTCAGGGTTGGTGTAGAACGCTCCAAACCAAATCAAACCATATCAACTCTTATTGTTTGTTTTAAAAGACAAGTAAACCAAAAAAAAACCCCCACCAAATATTCAACAGAAAAAGATAAAATTGTTTCAAGACCCAGCAATCCAAGGGTCAATATAAGAAGCATTCATCCCACACAGCTGCCTATACATTTCATAACTGAGAAAAAAATTCCCTACAACAGCTCAGGATCTTTTTTCAAAATGGAGTAAGGCTTTTGTTTCTTCTAATCCTTTCAGAGCACACAAGATTGGATATCACAGCCATGACATTACTGGACTGAAAAGCAATTTTATGTAATTTTGCAGTTTGTAAGAGGCATTGGTTACAATTTTTCTTTCCCTCAGATCTGCACAGTGCTCATGGTAACTAATGCACCTATCCTTATGAAAGAAAAGACGTAGAACATCATACACTTTTAGATAATGCAATACATAGTTTCCTAAAATAATACATCATATGCAGAATATTACACTTACTTGTGAGACCCTAATGCTGGAGTCCATTAAACACACTGACTTATGCATCTCTTGCTCTACAGCTCCAATCCACGACTGCTGTATTTCTTTCTTTATTAATGCAGTTTTCTAGACTTTACACTCTTGTGTCTTCATTATATTATGGCTTTTTGCACTTGGTGGTTTTCCTCACTGGCACTTCCAGTGGGAGCATTAGCAGAGCTTCACAGTGAAGCCAGAAACACAACCAACCTACCAGACCAGGGATGGATTTTGCCTTTCTTAGAACTGTATCACAGCAGGTTGTTAAAGCATGATACTTCTCCTCTCTGGACATTACAGTAGCATCTGTGTATAAATTTATCACAACCACATTTATTTAGGATGTACATGTGTCTGCCCTCCCAAGATTGTTGTCTTCTGCAGCCCTGTGGAACAATTAGAGATCCCACTTAAATGCACTGCTCCCAAATATTTGCTGGTACTGCTTGATGGGAAAAGACTGCAAACCCTGAGTCCTGTGACAAGCAATGAAGGAGATCATAGCCCACCTCTAGCTAATTAAATTTCCCCAGTTATAGGGCAAAACAAATTGAAAGTGATGAAGCTCTGAAACAGGCAAAAAATTCACATTACCCTAGTTTGTGAAAGGGAAGAGCAGCATGTGAGTTCCGGTCATTAAACAATTAAAAGTGCATGTAATGAAGACTAGCAGGACAGGACTAGCTGTAAGGATTTATAAGGAGAATACAGTCTGTATAGATTTAGCAAATGTTCAGGTTGTTTCTCTGTTGTTGTTAAACCTCAGTGTGAAACTATGCACAGGGTACCTAAAAGTCCTTTCATTCCGATGGCCTGCCTAGGGGGTGGTCTGACTGCAAAGTGTCAGTGGTGTGAAATCAGAGAGGACATTTCTAAGACAAGGCTTCTATCTTTTTATCTGAATACATATTTTTTTCTGTCCAAAGTAAATGTTAAATATTTCTGAGACTCTCGCAAAAAGCTCCTCTGTTGCATGCTTCTACTATCCTTTAGCTCTGAAGTAATGCAACAGTAAAACTCAGGAAGGTGGAGCCTGCAGGCACTCTCCAGCTACTGATGTGCCTTGGAGGAGTCAGCACTGAGCTGGCAGGCTTGAGGCAGCTTGTCTCATTTCCACAAAATTATGATAAACTGAACTGGTTCCCAGCAAAATTGCCAAGAGCAATGGAAGGTTCAGGACAGTAACATTCCCTCAATCCAGGAAAGTCTCAAAACTACCTGATGCTGGAGGCAAGACTGGAACAGCCCAAGATGGGGCTGCCAGTGCCAGAGCCCAGTCCAGGCAGGCAACTCCCTGCACACCAGCCAGTGAAGTACCACCACTACTAGGCTGCCATCGTGATTCATCTTACATGGTCCACAAATTAGGATTGCTCATGGAAAGACTGGTTTGGGGGGAGAGGAGAAGGAAACCAATAAGAATAACTGAACTGTGTTATTTTATTTTTAGATTTTTATGGAGTCTACTTGAGCGCTGATCTTTGCATGGGTAAGACAGCATACATATCTCTCTCTCTTCTCTACCTTTCCCAATCAGTTCCATTCCGTCTGATTTCCACCAAAGTGTGTTCTTGTTAGCAGGACACATATTAACATTTAGACCAAATTAGACTTGTATTTGTGTGCATAGCTGCTACAGATGCTGCTGATCCTAGAACAAAGTACACTATTTTTCATTCTTCAAATAATTTTAAAATGTTCCACACGACATTTTGAAAGATTGGCCAGAAGAAATGCTAAGAAGCAAGAAAATGCTAGAAACCATAAAATTATTTTCATATACTTTTAAAATTATCTAAATGGTCAACATGCTATGCATGCTTATCTTCTTTTATATAAAACCATCTTTGAGAAATTACCAATCATAAAGGCATTACTTCAGTTACACTGCTCTATTCCATTACACTACCTTGCATTTTGGTACCTCATGAGAAAAAAAAGAAATATCTGAGAAATGCATTAAGACACTTATCTTATTAATGGCCAACCATATATAAGCTCATTTTTTGTGCCCTAGGCTTTTATGGTCTCACAGTGGAAAATTTTTCTTCATATTTTTCAGAAATAACAGAAAATTCCAAGAAATGGAAGCCGCTGCCAGTGAAAGAAGAAAAGCTGAGTATCATCAGGGTTAATAGCTCCTATTTGAGATCCATGAATGATTACAGAGTTACTTTTCTGTATCGAACTTTCAAGTTTCATTAATAATATGCTGCCTCTCCAGGACACAGGTGCACTCACGCTACAAAGGCTATCGGTTCGTCACGTGGAATAGAAGAGCTAGAGGAACAATGGCTTCAAAGGTCTCGTGTTTATACATTTTGACAGTAGTTTGTTGGGCAAGTGCTCTTTGGTACTTGAGTATAACTCGTCCGACTTCTTCCTACACGGGCCACAGACAGGTCAGTAGCATATCCATAGCCAGAAAAAACGTTTCCTTTGGCAACATAAGAACTCGACCTATAAATCCACATTCCTTTGACTTCCTTATCAATGAACCCAACAAATGTGAGAAGAGCGCCCCATTCTTGGTCATTCTTATCAGTACGACTCACAAAGAGTTTGATGCAAGGCAAGCCATTCGAGAAACGTGGGGCGATGAAAACAACTTCAAAGGAATTAAAATCTCCACACTGTTTCTTCTTGGAAAAAATGCAGATCCTGTGTTAAATCAAATGGTAGAGCAAGAAAGCCAAATTTTTCATGACATTATTGTGGAAGATTTTATCGACTCTTACCATAACCTCACTCTGAAAACGTTGATGGGGATGAGGTGGGTAGCAACATTTTGTTCAAAAGCGAAGTATGTCATGAAGACAGACAGTGATATTTTTGTAAATATGGACAATCTTATTTATAAGCTGCTGAAACCTAACACCAAGCCAAGGAGAAGGTACTTCACAGGTTATGTTATAAATGGAGGACCAATAAGAGATGTTCGCAGTAAGTGGTACATGCCCAGAGATTTGTATCCCGACAGCAACTACCCACCCTTCTGTTCAGGCACTGGCTACATTTTTTCAGCTGATGTAGCAGAACTGATTTACAAAACCTCCCTTCATACCAGACTTCTACATCTTGAAGATGTGTACGTTGGACTCTGCCTTCGGAAGCTGGGCATTCACCCCTTCCAAAACAGTGGCTTCAATCACTGGAAAATGGCCTACAGCTTGTGCAGGTACCGCAGGGTGATCACAGTGCACCAGATAACACCAGAAGAAATGCACAAAATTTGGAATGACATGTCCAGCAAGAAACACCTTAGATGTTAAGATTTTTACAGATGTAAATACCTTTTTTTAAATTTTGGTTGAGTTTGGTTATTTTTTGACAAAGTGATCTGCTGACTTACAGGTTAAACTGTGGGATATTAACTGTGAGAGGCTTTTTAATGACTGATTTTTCATTCTCACTTTGACTACTGGTTTACAAACTTCAGGCTCTTTTTCATAAGGACATTATGCCAACTGAAAGAATCTGGAGTCAAATCTCAGATTTTGTAAATTATCATCTATTGCACATATCCATTCTTACATCTGTGTGTAAAAGGACAGTAATAAACTATTATGAGCTGCTTAACAATTCACATCCCAGCCTCTGAGATAAGACTCAGGCTCTAAGAAATGAAGAATTACAAATATACTTTTATTCTCCTTTTGACACCCTACAACCGTCTCTATTTAGAGCCTTGTTAATAAATTAAGCAGCATACATTTGCACTGAAATGATGTACCTACTTTGACATGTGTATTTTATAGTACTTGTGCAATTCCCAAATAGCTTACTAATGGTGTAATAGCAGAATAGCAGAATTTAGGTAAGAACATCAAAGTTTCATTGGCCTTAGAAACAAACCCACACACTGAAATATATTTTCATCCACCAAATGGCATTATTTTAAATTATTTCAGAATAGCCCATTTCTTTACACTTCTTAAATGGCCCATAAAATATGTAACACAATTTAAAAATTAAGTAAATCTGTAGGTGAAATAAGGCAGGGGAGATGTATGAAAAACTATCTTTAAAATATATGAGAAAAGCATGAATATCTTAACTCTTAATTTCAAAGCAAGGCAATGTCTGTCATTAGTATTAATGGATTCTCCATTAAACACCTTGAATAGCAATATATAATTATATAATTATGCTAAAAAGTGTCAATAAGCACCATATTTCAACATCAGTCAGTGCACTATTTACCTGAAAACAAGTAACACAAAAGCAGCTTTTTAAGGGGAAGCTTTACTTTGTGCTGCAGTACATATAGAAACAAGTCCTAACAGATTTTTAATGGTGTAGAAATGAGGAATTTAGCCCAATATAAGAATGCAATCAATTTTCTGTTGACTGGACATACAACAGAATACATAACATATATGTACAAATTTCACAGTAAAAGAGAGGGGTTTTAAGCAAAATCTATTAAAGCTACACAAATTATATCCTTTTAAAAAACCTTTTAACGTTCTCAGTTTACTCTTTACAGTCAATACTCACTGAGGTTCCACTCAGGAGATCAAGTACACAAGACTTATTCAAATTTCATAACATGCTTATACATATTTTGAATATGAATGTTTATGAAATGTCACGAAAACTCTTTGATAAATTCAGGCCATCTCTATTCAGTACCACCTTATAATAAGGAGGTGAAACATGGTATTGCTCAGCAAATAACTTGGAATGAAGAACTCACACACAAGTTACAAAAAACCAAAACTCACCACGTATATTATCAGCTGAAGATTGCTCACACCATGCTCAGCACACACAGAGTCTCATTCATTGCAGCTGGCATTATGTGTAACATATGCAAAACTGTTAAGTCTGTATGTTATTCAGAATGTCTATACAGTTGTCAGAAATTAACTGAAGAAGAACTAAAAGGGAAACTTTGACCTGATTTTGCCATAGACATACCCAGCACTTTAGAACAGTAACAGAGGAATGAAGATGCTATCCTAAAAGGTTTGCAGTTTCATGGCAAATTGTTAGTCTTGTTCACAGATGCAGCACTATCATTTCAAAAGAAACTACTTGTAAATAAGGTAAAGTGTACCTGGCTTTTAAGGCACTAGCAGGAGCTATCTCAAGCAAATCTATGTCAGATCTGAAGATGAAGCTACACAATAGGCAGCCTAAGAGTTACTGTTAACAGGAGTTTGTGTACCCTTCATAAATAAAAATAACCCAAACCAAAACCCCAGTAATTTTATAAGAACACTAAATCTCTTACAGCATAATTAAAGAGTTATCCTTCCCTAGTTGATCTAGTCCTTGTTAAAGCTGCTATGCCCTATTAAATCCAGAACTTCCAAGGTACAATTAATTGCATAAGTGAATATATAACACACGATTGGGTAAAGTTCAGATTTCCTTACATAAGTCCCATAATATTCTTGTTTATGAATGGAAATGCGGGAGGAATTCATCCCCAGCCCTTGGGTAAATCAGATAGCACAGATGCCATCCTGCCCAGAACACATTTTGTAATAATTTGAACCCGCAGGCTGCAATCACTTCTGCTATCCCTCTGCACTGTGCAGCAATTTGGGGGTTCTGAATCACAAACAAATGGATTTGGTTGCCTTATTTCTGCTGATGCTTCTGTGGCCTTTGCTTAGTAACCAGGAGGACAGCAGGGCTCCCAGTCCAGATACCTCAGGGCTCAAGCAGCATGGTAGCCTTGAATTTCTCCTAACACAAGTAGATTGCATTAATAATTGCAAGGTACACCTTGAAAATAGTATCTGAAAAAGTGTATTTCCTGCCATTTATAAATAGACAGACCTTCAACAGAAATGTAAATGTTCATCTTGAAACTGATGTACATATTTCTAAGGCATTTTCTTCTGTATTCAGCTGTATATATGTGTCAGTCTGCTTGCTATGTAGAATTCTGTTATGCATGGAGCTGAGTGAGGCATTATATTTGTCCAGTGTTTCAAGAGCCTTAAGCATGTGTGCCCTAACTTTTGAATGTACAAGATACTTTTTCTTTTGCTGTCAAGTGAATTTAAAACAACACAACAAAATCCTAATTTTCTACTTGTATTAATTTTCTGGTATTAGATTTCATTAGCTCGTTACACTTAGATTTATTGTTTTCACTTTGCTCATAAATTTCACTATTGGAAACTGGATATGGAAAGGTAGCAATACATCTACTTATAGGGACAGTCTTCCCTTCCACTCAGTGGTATTTGTGCCATGTGGGATACTGTTAAGAAACAAATGTTTTCAATAGACTTCCTTTCATCAAAACAATATTTACATTACTTAAAAGTCATTTTGTTTCATTGGGCATGGGACAAATGACAACTTGGTTAAACATGCTGCCTTCTCGTCACTTCAAAAGTTTGACTGTAATCACATTTTGATTCCAAAATGCATATGAGAAAAGCACATTGAGCAAAACAGCTGGGGGGAAAGTGCCTCTCTTTAGGAGGAATTTTTTCACAAAAGCATTTTTTCCTTTTTTATTTTGCTAAAACTGTGAGAGTATTCAAACAGAAGCCTCAAGGTTCATTTTCCACACTTCCTAATAATAATGTTAAGTATTAATTTTGATTCTTTGAGGGTTTTTTGTCTTTATAATGTAGATGGCAATGGCAATTTGTAAATGAAGAGTGTAATTAACTAGAAAAGCTTGTCAACAGTAACCGAAATTTAGGTGTATCATTATATATGACTGGCTGTACTTATGTATTTATTTGTCTAAATTGTATATATTGTTTTATCTGTAGTGTCTGTAGGAGTGCATTCTTTTAGATTAATGTATTATTTACAGTTTTGTGGGATTGCCAGCAAAGCTGCTAATCAAGATACTATTTTTTTGTATCAATGTCAAATAATAATAAAAAAAAATCAAGTGAAAAATGGAAGGTGTCCTGTAAGTTTTCTTCTTCACCTCTTTCTAGAAATGTAAATTGTATTACCTGAAAACAAGTGAATTGGCTCATTTGTCATGAGGAAGAATATTGTGCTGTTAATGCAGATTTTTTTAAAAAAATTAAATAAACCAAACAAAATACTACTTTTATTCATTATTTGTGCAACAACTTCATCAAGCTGATGTCCACACAGATCAGGTTTATTACTTCATCTAAAGCTTTTGAACTTCAAAGCAGTAATATTAATGCAGCCATGGCAATATCTGGCAAAGCAGCACAGGGGCTCATCCCCTGCTCTGCCCTATTTAGCTGCTTTGGCACCCCCAGCCAGTGAGACCCAGGTTTGGCCAGTCTGAGGTGGCAAAGCTTTTTGACACCCTCAGCAGGGCTCTTCTGCTACTGGCATGGTGTCTTAACGTGTGGGCTTGCAGCCATCAAAAGCTGCACACAGGAGAAAAGGAGAAATGTCCCAAAGCCCACATCTCATAAAACCACAATAAAGGTGTTTGAAGTTGCTGTATCATCAGCTGGGTCACCCATGCAGAGGGAAGGGGTCCTCCCAGTCTCTCACAGACACAGTGACCATGACAGAGCCTTTTGCTTTCCCCCCACCCCACAAAGCACCAGAAAATAAATGAAGAATCACGGTCTGAGTACACTCAGATTACTCAGGAAGTCTCATGTAGCCTTTGTCTCCCAACACACATATCTTAACATACTGTTTTGTCTCTCAGGGAGGTCTGGCCAACTTTAGGGTCCTCGTATCAAAATAAAAGCAAAAAACCTAAATAACACAAAAGTAGGAAGAAGTCCCTTTTCTTGTAAGAATGTCAGAAAAATTCATCTCTCCCCATTCTCCCCTTCATTCTCCCCCTTCTCCCCTGCAGTTTCCTACATAGAACAAAGTATCCAAGCTCTTTTCCACTGCCCTTGGAGCTCAATATCCAAAACTCATTCATGAAATGGAGGGAAAAATAACCCCACCCCTGAGAAGAAAGGTAGCTTTGGCAAACCAAAGTGGTCACCAGAAGTAGTTGCAACCTGCAAAAGAGTCCTCGGGCATCCCAGCAATGTCTGCAGCAATGCAGCAACCTTACAAACCACACTGAGATGCTTTAAAGCAACCAAGAGTTTCACATACAGCAAAACCCCTCCAATCGTTTTCATCTCTCTTGTTTCCACCAAAGCAGCCTGAGTCTAATTGCAGCACTTACATGGTGTTTAATTAATAGACAGCTTGGAGATATACAGATATCAGCACTAGCAGGGCAGATTTCATGTAGCTTGATTATCTTAATTACAAGCATTCTATTTTCTCATTTACTTAATTGATTCTCATAGATTTTCCAGAGAAATTTGCAGTGCCCTAAGTGAAAATAGCATGTAGAAAACCTTCTTAAAAGTGCTGACACTGCCCTGTTACAGCAGCAATGCACCAAAAAAGGAATATATATATGACACAGAACATTGTACTGAATAGCATCTGCTTCCTTTTCTCTTGTTAAAAAATTTGAATTTATGAAATGGAAGGAGTCATCTGGGGAGAAGAAAAAAAGAAAGAGTGTACCTTATTTATTCAACCGCACCTGCAATTAAGTTGTGTCAAGTATCTCCTCTGATGACTTGCCTAACACAGGAAAAAACCCCATTTTTCTGCTAGGTCTGCATATTAGCTGAATCTGCATTATAGCTCTGCCTCACCTGAAAGAGCCAAGAGCAAGAGGCATTTATTAGTCATGCCAGATTTATCCTTGAGCACTTGTTCTGCAAAGGCAGCATTACATATCAAGCTGGACAGAATTAAGTGTGGTGGTTTTGTAATGCAGACAACTTTTATTTGGGTGAAGCAAATACCCCAAACTTGAGGTGTGCTGGCTAACACCTACCATTTCTGCATCAATCAAGCATCCCTTTTGTCTTTAAGAGCTCCTTTCTCTGGCCTGTTTTCTAACATGACATCTTTCTCCAAAGAGAAACAGGACCTCCAGGTATCTTAGGGTATCAGTAAACGAAGGGGGAAGCAGAGAACACCCCACAGCATCATTACAAGCTTTTCCCTTGATTTACAAAAGTCACTTAGCCACTGTCCTGTACTCTCTATCTGTTTCAATCTGATACATTTCCCTGTTATTTCCCAAACTCTTTCCATTTTCTTTATTTGATTTTGTATGACTCAGCATTCTCTCATCTAAAAGTATCAATTCAAACCAGCCACAAAGACAAGAACACAGAGTTTCTA